TCAACATGTAATGCATTTGCAAAAAGATAAAGCAGTTGCCTGAAGTCTAATGTATCAAATCAAGAAAAATCATTGTTCCTCTCCATTCCATTCCCAAAATGTTGCTCCAGTTCTGAACTTGCATCACTGAAAGGTCAGTGACTAATTGGAAGTGTGCAGAGGAGAGCAACCCAGATAAAAAGGGACTGGAGAAAGAAAACATATGAGAGAGGCATGGGTTATTTTTAACTGAAGAAAACCGCTGGGAGACATGGTAGTGGTCTTTAATATCTGAACACTGTCATGCAGCAGAATCATTCAAAATTACTCCAGGAACAACAAGAAAGAATTAAAATTATGAGGACGTAGATTTGATTTGACATCAGAAGAATTTCCTGTAGTAAATTACTCAACAGTGAAGTCAATGGCCTTCTTCCCCTGAAGGTGTTTAGATGGATCGGTGCATTCCTGCAGGGGGAAGGGATTGGTCTCTAAGGACCCTTCCAACTCTTATATTTTATGGTACTGTAATTCAAGAGTAGAAAACAAATGCATGTGGGAAGAAATCATATAAACAAAGAGTAGACAGAATAAAATACAAAAGGATAGGCATCAAAGGAATTCCTAGTCCTCTGCAGCAGAGGTGGGTTCCTATCAGTTTGGACTGGCTTGGCCGAATAGGTAGTAACTTGGTGCCTGTCACTGGAACCAGCCAAGACCCAGGCCTGCCACACCACTGAACCGGTTCCCTAGTTGCTGGCCCTGCCCACCCACCCCACCTAGTCACTCCTCACCTCCTGGGCGGTTTGCCTGCCTAAGCTGCCACATGGTGCCTGCCCTACACCCCAACTGAGCTGCCTCCTCCTGTCTACAAGTAAGTCTCAATAGACACACACACACACACCCTGGAGCTTGCTGCATCCCCCCTCCCATTGTCCCACCAGGCTTGCAACCTTACCCTCCCCTGCTCCTTCCAGGATCCCCAGGAGCCCCATTTTGGCTTCAGGGGGCCTTCAGGCCCAAAATAGGGCATGAGGGGTACCTAGCAAGTCTCTCTGTAGTCCCTTGGGAGCAAAAATTGGCTGCGGTGGGCGGGGGGGCTTCAAGGAAGAAAAAAATCCTCACTGTTAGGAATATAATCTAACGGTTGGGTTGGCAATATATAAATCATGTAACAATGTTGTAACTGTTTCTTTAAATCATACTGTAAAATGTGACTGATTGCTGTATTCCTCAATCGGCCATAAGAGGGAGCCAGAATGCCTGTTAGTTCTCTCTCTGTTTGTTAGATGCTGGGCTGATCTGATCTGAGTGCCATTAGCTATTGTGAGTTTTGCAACTGTTAGCAAACTTTGTGTACCGGACTGATTGCATGAAGACTGGACTATATTATTTAGATTATCCCTTAACTGAAAAGACATGACTGACTGTCTTATCCGTGTATGACTTGGACTGTTTGATACCTCTAT